GGACAAACCCGTTTACAAAACTGGACTGACCAGATTAACCTGAATCATTAACTACAGCAAATCTCCTCTAATCTGGACACTAATGTTGCGTGACAGAAAGACGTTTCCAAATTAGTGAGGCATTTTTATTTCATAACTTGCATGCAAAAAATAAGGAAGCATCTACATCAAAAATACTTGCAAACTATGGTCCAAAAACAGCTAAAGTTCTATAATGATGATAAAAATATCAGTGAGTCTTTTGCATAAAATCGGTTGAAGCGTAAAGAAGTTAGGGAGGAGAAAAAGAAAGATGGAAAAGATGGAGAGGAAGGAGAGAGGGGTTGTAAACCTGCCACACAGATGGTGAAATAGTCTCCATAAAGTTCTCTGATGAACTTGACGAGATCAGTTCCGTAGGAGAACCCATCAGGTATTGGTTTCCAGAAATGACCATGGCTGCTGCACAACCGCCCAGCTGGACTAAACTAAAGCGCTTATTGCAGCTGTCTCTCTCCCGATCCATCGCTATAGCTCTGGCTCTCTCCGTACACTCGAGGGTGTGCGTTAAAAAGAGGGCGTTTTGAAAGCTTTTGCGCAATAGCATTGGTCAGAGCCTTACCGCCGGATGTCATCATACAAACACGGCTTCGGCTTGTGGTCTACTGGTGGCACACTCGTGGCTTCAGTTTTGATAGACCACTCGTGTACAACCAGTAGACCACGCGCCACCATCGTGTAACATAATATAGACAGAGGTAGAGGAAAATGCACAACCTAGGGTGGTACAAAACGAGTCAGAAGAGAAAAATCGAGAATAAATAATTGGTGATGAAATAACATCTAAAGGAAACGATACCAGAGAGGCAAGTAGAAGAGAGGTTTACAAACGTAATCGCTGCTGTGCACCCTTACAAAAAGAAAAGAAAGGGGGACAAATATGAGAGGGAGAGAGAAGGAGAAGAGAAAGAGAGGTTATAAAAAAACTAAGATGAAGGAAGTGAGTAAAACAGAATGTGATCACGTCACGCGTGCCAAAAAGAGATTATGAAAAACACACAGCAGAAGAGGACTGTCACAAATTGAAACAAGAACGTAATTGGTGTTGCAAAAGGAGGAGGAGGAGACTAGAGGAGAAGGTATTGGGGTGATCTTACAAAATACGGAGTAAGAGATGGAGTGACGAGTGGAGGAAGGAAGGAGATACCAGGAGTTCATCGTGAACTACTGGTGAGAGAGTGTTCAATGGAGGAGGCCAGGGGAGAGAGACCAATGGACTTGAGAGAGTCCGTCAGAGTTCTCCAGGTCACCGGCTGCTTCCCTTTCCCCCTCAGCCAGCGACTCAATACCTCGATGGTGATCTGTATGCATCCAGTGCATTCGAATTCGATGGTTGGCATGATGGACCCATCGTTGTCCTCCAGTAACAGAGTCCCCAACTTCATGTACTTCATTCCAACTTTACTGGTGATGTCAATGGCTCCCGAGTGTGTGGGGAAACTGAGGAGCTCTGGAAGTGTCGGCCTTTCATCTGCAGTTGAAAGAGTTGTAGTCAGAGAAGACTGAGGAGGGGGGAGAGGAAGAAAGGAAGGAGGGAGAGAAGAGATGTAGACAGAGGAAGACTCACTCATTCTGGTTGGAGGAGAGGAGAGGTGTGTGGAGGAAGGAGAAGATGAGCTGTCTGCAGAGGTGGCTGTTGTTGGAGGAACTATATAATATACTGAATATTGTATAATGGCTTACGCTCGCATGCAGCCATCCTACAACTGATTGACCAATCAGATTTCAGAACTCGCTAGAACCAAGCTCAAACAGTAGGATTTGAAACATGAAGACTAGGTTAAAGAGAGAAAGAGAGTCAGTAACAGACCTCCACTCGTGTTGTGTCTCTCTCTCCCGTCTGTGAGCTACTGACCAACTGGGGGACTGCAGGGAACACACATGAGGAACAGCTTCAAAAACCACACATCATATCACTATGAGTGTACACCACATTATGTATGGATAACCCTCTGACTCACTAGTGGGATATGGTGGTGGTGACCAGTCACTAGAACCATGTGTCATTGTCACTACTACCACAATGTGCTGCATAGTAATTCACTGTACGAAACTTTGTGTAAAACATACCCATTCTTGATGGAGGTGCAGAGAGATGTGGTGAGAAGGAGTAGTTGAGGAAGAGGATGAACACCAAACTTAGTACTTTCTGTGTCCATCTCCGCAGTCTGCTAGTCTCAGCTGCAATTCAACAAAGGATGAGTAAAGGAAGGAGAGAGAGAAGAGATGTAGACAGAGGAAGACTCACTCATTCTGGTTGGAGGAGAGGAGAGGTGTGTGGAGGAAGGAGAAGATGAGCTGTCTGCAGAGGTGGCTGGGTTGGTTGGAGGAGCTGAGGTCTGTACTGAGCCACTGGGTAACTGGGACGCTGCAGGAAATGGGGGAGAGAGGAAGAAATGAAAGGGGGAGAGAAAAGATGCTCGCCCAAATCTTCAATTATACACCATGCAGGTTTGAGCCCATTTCAAACCTTCATACTTAGAGCAAAGGCCAAAGGATTGTAGCTTTGGTTTTCAGAAACACACACAAACAGTCAGAGCTCACCCATTCTGGAAGACGGAGAGGACGGGGAGGGAGGGTCAGTGAGAGACGACACAGGTTCACTAGTCGAGAGAGAAGTTGTAGCTGACTCGGCGACTGTGGAAAAGAGGAGAAAACACTATTATCAGTTTCAACACTGACTTAAATCAAACAACAGAGTGTACACAAGACACACACACACACAATCCGAAGTCTCACCTGGAGCAGTTCGTGGTCCAAGCCACACCCTCTGAGCAGGTGTAAGGCCTCCTCGAATGTTCTTCCCCGTCAGTGTGCAGATGAGGTTGGAGTGGGCTTCATTTGGAGTGGCTGTGTGCACGTCGTCTGGGCTGCAGGGGCACTGGAAGGCTACAGAGGCTCGCGAATTCTTGAAGCGGAAAGCACTCGCTGCACTATCCACTGCATCCATGAGCATGTCACGGATTTCTGGACAGATGATGGGCAGGTCGGCCTGCGATGCATCGAGATGAACTTCGAAATGCTTCAAAGCATGGAGAAGAGTAATTTCAACTGCTTTTGTCGGATGCTGCAACCGCACGGCATTGCGGAAGAGACAAGCAGGAACTATCTTACTTTCTACCATGGTGTAAGCCGTGGTCCACCCATACTTGGAGCGCATGCAGGTATGGGTGGAGCAGAACACACCTTTAGCGATGCGGGACATGTGGAAGTGGAGAAAGAGAGGGGACACGTGCTCACTGGGGGCAGGCACATATCGCTCCATATCCTTCTCTGCCACCGTCTGGAGCATGGCAGGCATTATGAACTCCCTCTCGTTCAGAGGAGCTACAATGTAAAGCTTCTCGAACAGCTTCAGAGCATCGCCTGCCTCAAACAGACCCCTCACGAAGCAACCACGGAACTCCTCTCCCTTCAGCATCTCGCTGCTCACCACCCCTTCCTTCCACAGTCGACACTCGCTCGCAGCCAGCCCTGCAATCGCACCACCCCCCACCCGGAAGCTGTACTGGACGATTCGATTTATGCTGTCCAGTGGCATCTGAGGGTCGACAAACACCGCACCAGGGAGGACCGACGGCACGTACATCCACACGCTCATCTTGTTGAAGAAAACCAAGGCAGCCTCCAGACTCTGTCGCTCCATCTTCAGCCTCCCAGCGATGGCCTGGAATTCCTCCATGCTCACTACCTTCTTTCTCTGCTCTTCCGCGTACTTGTTCACGTCGTTCAGCAACACGAGGAACGCTATCGGGGTATCCACATCCAGGGCCCCGCTCAAGTCCGCCACTTTCTCGCGGATCAGATCGAAGCATTTGTCGTCATTCTCGTCGGGATTCTTGGCGTTGACGGCAAAGATGATGTCGTCGCCATTCATGACCAGGTTTTCCTCCGGAACCGGTCGAAACAGGCTGGCCAGCCTCTCGTTCTTCTGCTCCAGGGTTTCGTCGCACTCGTGCATCAGATCCCTGTGAGTGCCGATCACCATGAACCTGGTGTGCATGCCTTCGCTGCCGGCCACGGGCTTGCACATCATGGTGTGGACAAACTGGACCACCATCTGCTCGTTGGTGAGCAGTGAGGGGCATTGCTCCGTAAACCACTTTCCTTCCTCGTCGGTGAAGGCATTGGTGCACAGAGCATCCAGACGCTCGTTGAGCTTGATGAAGACCAGGACGAGGGACACGTTGTGACTGAAGGCTGCAACGACCTCGTGGAATTGAGGCTGTCCTCCGCTGTCCAGGAACAGGATTATCTGCAGCTTGAACAGTGGCTCTTCTTTTCGGACCACTTCACTATCTAGCTTCAGCCTCGCCCTGGCTTTGCTGGCAGTGCAGACTGCACTGACTACAGCTGTTGAGGCTGCACTATCACCTGAACCAGTGCCTACACTACTTGCAGCTACACCCTCACTTCTATCAGATGAACTGGAGCCTTCGCTAGCAGCCTGCACCATTTCTTTCACCACTTTCGCTACCCTTCCTTTAAGCAAACCCTTGCGAACCACGTAAGCCAGAAATTGATTGATATCCTCGTACTTGAGTAGTTCGAACCCCTCTGCAGAAGGCAAAGCTTTGATCAGCTCCAAAGTAAGCTGTCGAAAGGCCAAGATCGGAGCCTCACACACTCCTGTACTAACGGAGCAGTTCGGGTCGCACTTGATTTTGAAGACGTGATTCTTGGAGAGCGTCTTCCCCGAGCGAGCCACTCCTACTGCCATGGACTTCAGAAAGCCCAGTGGGAAGGAGCCGTCCTGGAGGGCAGCGTCCAGGATCTGTTTGGCCTTCTCGGGAGTCACTGCAGGTACAATAGCAATCTTTAAAAGAACTTCATCATATAGAGGATGGAGAGAGGGCATATGTCCCCCTTTCAGGCACTCACAAATTAAAAGGGCACACACACTTTCTGTAAAACCTTTGTTACATCTAAATTACGTGTACATCTGGTTACAAACCACAAACCACACCCAACACTAGACATGTAGGTACATAGATGCTCATGTACATTGTACACTGAAGCTGCATGTGTCCAATGAACAATGCTTAGCTAAAGATATAGCACTGGCTTCACTATCACCCTTCGAATCATGTCATTACAACAATCATAATGTAAACTCGATGTTGTTGTTGACAAACGTAATGATTACTAACTCACTCTTGAGGTATGTCTCCTCCACCTCACGTGCTGCTCTCTTTCCCTCCTCACCCCCAACTCCATCCTCCAGTAGCTCCTAACGTGTTCCCAGGTAGGCCAGGGGTGACCGGCCAGCCATGTAGTGATCAATTCTCGTTTCGCCTCCTCATCATCATCAAACTTTCCTACTATCTCATCATGCTGGCTGCGTGGCATGTCAAGATAGCGTAGGAATCCCCTACTCCTCCACAGTGGGACATGGCGTGTGACTTGTAGGATGTTGGCTGGAGTCAGGCTGGGGTCTGGAGGAGTGAGAGAGGGAGAATATTCAGTGACTATTGTTTCCTATCACAAATGTATAGGCAAGGTTAGGTATGAATATTAATACACACAGCTGCTAAAATTAGTAACATCCATAGTACACAGAGGTATGCTTCGTTGAACATGCATGAAGACATGATTGACACAGTGAATGTGTTAGTCCACATGTAATGGTCCAGTGCATGACACACAGTTTTAGCTGACTCTCAAGTGCAGGTCTTTGGGGAGGGGATCAGGGAGGGCAGTACACACAAGTACAATGTACATGTGTGAGTGTAGGCCAAATACAGGACAGTGTGTTGGAACTGTTGTTACTACATGTGTTCCTAACACATAAAGTACAAGTAGTACATGTAAACATGTGAGTGTATAATTGTTACTAGAAGGAATGCAAGCATACTAGATGACATTCTTGGTGAGTGAATTGAGCATTTCAATATTTTTCATTCAGTATGTACTCTAATTGATGTGCGCCTTGTGGGTTGTGCTGGAAAAACAGGGCTGCAGGCACTTTAAACTACTTTTGACGTGGTATATGTAAACATGTGAGTGTATATTAGTATTTAGTATACAGAAATTGGTGAATATATAAAAAGCAAGGAGACAGACAGGGATGACCTAGTGTATGTGATGCAGTAGTATATACAATAAATGAGGGCTACATATATTTCAAAATGACATTGCTCGCTCATGTACATTTGCCTCCACACTTTACACCATAAAAGTGGTGACAATAAAGGGCTTGTGTGGAGGAAATGCACATGAGCGGCAACGTC